AAACGACTATATTTTGAGTTCATTTCTATAAGAAATAACGCCTACTATGAAAAATAGAAATGTAACTGACCTCTGTATCATAATATCATCATTTTTTATGAGAAAATATGAATAACTCATGAATAATAAAAAATATAATGGAACGGGACAGTCTTTTGCACGACTGTTTTAATTTTTAATTAGGTTATTACCAACGGGGCTACTAAAAAATTAGTTTTAATAATGTATTCTATTTCATTATCTTTGAGCTTCTTACAAGTTAATTATTAATAAATATACTTTATTAATTTCTTATTCTTCGAATTTGTATGCCTGTATAAGTCTATGTGATTTGTTTAAAAACATAATTTCTTAAAGAGAATTAAATGATTATTTATTGATAGCTATTTATAATCCTTCAATTTTCTATAATCTAAAAATCCTACTTTTTATTTTTATTTTTTACACTGNTTATTTTATTTTTTTTTTTTTTGTAAGTCTATCACATCCACTCGGGTGTTTACACGTTAAGGTCAGTTGACACAACCTCCTCTATTTTCTTAGAGTATATACTTTGCTAGAGTTAAAAATATATACAGGGAGGGTACTATACTTTAAGAAGAAAACTCTGACTTTAAATAACCATGACGTTAAGTTTATTTTCAAGTAGATATTTTCAGTATATTACTGCAGCTACTACTTTAATATCATCTACTACATCTAAGAAATTAATGAGAATAAAAATGTTTTCTAATGAGAAATGCAACATCATCTACTGTAGATAAAGACCTAAATACAATCGAGTTAAAACTTTATCAGCAAGTAGTACAGCATTTAAGTACAAATTAATGATTAAAGTTTTACAAGGAAAAGAAGAACATGGTGGGAAAAAAAGTTACTGCAAGATTAACACCATTACAATCAGCAACAATTATCATTCTAGCCAAGAAAATCGAGTTAAAAAAAGAAAAACAGTATGTCTAGATGCTAAGTACAATAATGATAGTGAAAAGCAGAGCATAAGTCATATAGATGACTCAGGTGTTATATAAATATATTTGGCAAACTACCAAACAACTGTTTATGTTAAGTATGACGTCAAAGACGGAACGATTTTCCTATATTTAATATATTCCGTACGTACGAAGTCGAATCGAATGATATCGAGGAGCAGAAACACATATTGATCTTAAATTTTACAATATAACAATGTAGGTGAATAGAGAAGTAAATGTTTTCTGGAATTAGTGCACGTAGCTATGTATATAAATATAAAATTTAAATGATTTTTTTAATTTTACGTGTGTAATAATGTAGATAAATAATAATGTAGGCTTAAATGATTTGGTGGGGATTTTATGCGTACAATTATGTAGACAGACGGAGGTATATTAGTGACGTTTTCGAATGTTGTGCGCATAACAATAGAGATAAGTAGGAATATTAATGACTTTATTTTTTAATTTTATGCGTATAACAATACAGATAGACAGGAATGTTAATATATTTTTTTGAATTTTATGCATTTAACAACGCAGACGGGTGCTTTTTTAAAGGTTAAAAATATAACAACGTACTGTACATGAATAGAAAAAAAGGAGGAAGTTTTTTGAAATTTCCAAGCATTTAATAGTGTATGTGGATAAGAATATGAATGTGTTTCTTTTAAATTTACAAATATAATAATACAGACGGGCAGGAAAGGAGTCCTTTTTTTGAATTTTACAATACAGAAAGGCAGGAAGAAGCTATTTTTGACATAAATAAGTAGGAAAAATCATTTTATTCGTATTTTAGAATATAGATAGATAGAAAGACGCGCTTTTTTTAATTTCAGAATAGAAACAGATAGGAAAAAGGCTGTATTTTAAAAAAAGATGGGAAAAATTTACACACCAAAAGAAAAAATAAATAAATAAATAAAAGTGGCATTTTCCGTTCACATTATCAACGCACTTAAGCTCGAGTAAGTACCATCCTGTAGTCTAATTTAGTACACAATTAGATCTTTCTCGCTCATTTACTTAATAAGAAATCGATAGACGATGCGTGCTAAATTGAATTCCCTGACTACTCCATCACTTAGTTTCCTATATCCTACGAAGAAAGCAAAAAAAAGAAAGAGGAAAGCAAAGGCATGTTTACGCATAATTTTAGCAACAGTTTCGAGATTTTCTCAAAAACAGGTGGAGTCTTGATAAACGTTGACCTAATTCCTTCAGATTTTCCGGAGTTCGATATGTCCTATTGGATGTCAAGGTCATCTACAATATAACTGATCGATATTCGCTCCAATATTGTTTAAAATAAACTTTTCTCCTCGAAGAATTTCATCGTTCTTCGGTAAACTTTTTTGAATTTTTAAATTTAAATAACGTCAGAATCACGCAACGAATCGAATCGTAAATCGCGAAACACGCGCGCGATTAACCAATAGCGTAATGAGTATCAAACGAAACAGAATTTAAAAGAGGAGGGGAAAGGAAAAGGACGGAATAGACGAAAAACCGGAAAATACAAAACAAATTAGATTTAAATTTAAATTTAATTTTATTAATTTAATTAATGTTTGTTTAATATTAAACGAAATAAAAATAGAAATAATTGAGGAAATTGTTAAAGAAAGACGAACTTTAGAAAATTTTCGACAGCCGACAAAACAACTCGTTTGCGACATCGTTACCTACACTGCAGTTGTTGCCATGGCGACAACAATCGGCCAATCAGAAAACCTATGAGAATTCGTAATATCTGCGCAAACTCATTATAAAGAAAAGTGTAAGAGGAGCGAAGGATGTATCGCCGGATTGAAGAGATTTGTCACTCTCCACCACTGGATAAAATTGAAACAAATGATCGCAATACATCAAATTTTTATATTTAAAAAAACAAATAATTAAATTTTAAAAAATTATAAGTTCTAAAAACATTCTCCAACTTACAGAATTTAAAAACGGAGAAGGAAAGAGCTAAACTCCAACAACTAATCTTAATTAAATAAGTAAAATTTCTCGATTTAAGCAATTAATTAACAAGTATTTTAATTATCTTAAAGAGTTTTAAATCATTGAATTAATGCAATTTACAATTTAAAACTGTTATTTTTGGATTCATTAACAAAACTCTGAATTTACGTTTCTTCGGCCGAAGCGTATCAAATTTTTCTCTCCTCCTCCCCGCGCGTTATACGCGGTAAATGACACAAAATTCATTTTAAATAATAAAATATTTTGTAAATAATTTTAATTAATTGACAAATTAACTGTTTAATTAGTTAAGACAATTAACAGCTAATTTCTTGGATATAATTGTTAGAATATCTAACGAATTGTTTAGTTCGTTGTATTCAGTGAATAGTTTATTCGCTAGTAAAATAGAATATCCAGCTTTATATAAAATATTGAAAGCATAGTTTATTCGTTAAACTATTCAATGAATAATCTATCAGAAAAAAAAGTATATATAACTGGCAATTTTATCCATTAGAATACTTAATTATTTAGAATAATAGAGTTAGTTTACTTGTATAATTAAATGTTAAGTATAACGAAAGGGTAATGTATACGTTACATAAAATAGAATAACGAACGGATCGTCTATTCGTTATTGAAATAATTATAATATCTAACGGATGTATTATTCACTAGATAAAAAGAGTTACAAATATTCTTATCCTCTATATCAATTGTTTTTACAAGGATTCTTAACATTGCACTCGATGCAGTTTGTATCGAAGCTTAGGATAAAGATATGAATCTATATGAATCATAAGAAAAACATTTTTGTTTGTCGGACGTCTGAACAGACTGACGTACTTCTTTTTCTCATCTTCTAAACAAAAATTTATCACAGATATCGATTACTTCATCTGTTTTTTGCAACTTTTTCTCCCTATATACAAACTTAATACTTTATTCTAAAATCAATTTTGCGTGTCTCGTATATGTAGGTATGTATATATAAAGTGTACATTCGCTAATTACCTTCAACAATAATTAGCAATTTTTAAAACTATTAAAATTTGCAAATTTCTCTACTAGATTTTCATGTTTGCATGTATCGATATTGCCTGTACGCTACAAAGTACAGAATCAATTCATTATAACCATCAAATAATTTATTATTTTAAAAATTTATTTACGTAATTGACCGAATGCTTTCATTATTTAAATATTCACTAATATCGACTACATCGTTTTAAAATATTCTTTCTTTCTTTCTTTTTCTCGTAATTATTCAATCATGATGACTTGTAAATAGTATTTTTCTATACTTCTCTTACACTTTCTATTGTTATAGACTCGTTAAAATGACCTTCAGACGTCACTTTATAAGGAATTATTAGTAAATTTTTCTATACAAAACTGAAACAAATTGAATTTTCTTCTATTAATTTTGCTTATTTTGGTCCTAAAATGGTGCCTTATATCTATATCAAGACTATTATATAATTAAAAATGCCTATGTTAGGAGGCATAAAAGTTTCGCTATATAGGCTAGAATAAACGTAGATCGGGAAGTAGGCTATAAAGGCTTTCTGTATGGAAATCGGCATTTATATAAGCATTTTTGCATATAGCATATTATGTGATAGGTAATAAAAAGGAGCATATAACTAATATGCAAAAATGCTTATATCGGGGTCTTCATCAAGATGTATTATTAAAACTGCCCATGTTAGAGATAAGCAATCAAGATTAGTTATATAGGAATATATGATCAGAGGATATATAATTAAGACTTGTTACACACGCAAAAATACCTATATCAGAGGATAGATAATTAAAGCGTATAACACGGGCAAAAATATCTATTATCGGGAGGAATGTAATCAAACCTTTCGAGTTGTCACTCGACTTAAAGTCGCTTCTTTTTATCTATATAAACGTGTGCCAAATTATACGTTACTCATACAGAAACAATTCAGTCGAGTATAGAAAGACGACGAAAACAACAGAAAAAAATAAAAAATGAGCAACAAACATCTAACACATGCAAACGGTCAATGAACTTCAACTTACCTGATTCCATAAAAAATTTGGAAATTCTCTAGCAAATATCGCAGCCACAGCGGTGTGTATAATCGGTAGTATTATGCCCATGATAACAGTTATACCTCGAGGGACGGGCAACATACAATAACTTAGAAACAAGACAAAGACGATCTCCCAAACTCCATCCGAAGCACTGTGCGATCCCGACCAAATTCTGGCGCTCCAGGAACCACCTAATCCAACATCGACGGGCAGAACAAAGCAACAAAAGGTCATAAAAAAGATTAAGATGACGTAGCATAATATTAGTAAGTGATGGTCTCGTATGTAACGCGTGTGACTGAAACATGCCAATGCTAACAAAGCAACACTCGATGTCATATAGTATAAGGTGGGAACCGTTGCAAAACCATCGTATATAGCATGCAAGACGGACAATGCAGCCGTTAACAATACAAATAATCCAAGTACACATATGATCGAGTACTGTTGAAGCCTGAAGATGTATCTATGAAACAGTGCTTCCAGTTCATCATTTTCGAAATTGAGTCGATTAAATAGCCGGCTGAATGCTACTTTACGGTGTGTGTTGATTGCCTTAACTGAATGGTCCATGGCTAACGTCGATGTCCTTTAAAACACTTTCACTGAAATTCCATCATTCTTAGTCTTCTTTCGCGAAAATCGTAAAGATATGCAGTTGCCATATTCGATTCAGTAACACCCACTTCCGTGCCGAAGGCTAAGTGTTCGCACTCTCAAACGTACAGAACTCGTACAGACGACTGCCGTGTACCGTGGGTGGAGCACACAACGCGACTGTTCACTCGGCGCTCCACCAGGCTTTGTTTGATACGGCTATACCGCTTCCTATCCACGACTCCTAGGAGACGAAATTGGAACTAAACGTCACTTTCTAAAAAAACACCTCCTATCAATTAAACAATGCACAAATGGTACGTTTTTACGAGCAGATTCAACAGATTTCCCTATGTAAATAAAACAGCAGTAAAGCCAAACAATAATAAACCATTATTTTCCATTGTCTGACGCGAAAAAATATCATTTTATTCCTGTTTTAAATTACTTTAAATCGGAAAGAAAATCTACACGTGTTTTTATAAGTACTGTACAATTTAATAAAAAAAAATAATAATTAATAAAGTAAGTTTATTAAAACTACTTAAATTAATAAAAAAAAACCCTGCTTATTTTATATCTATATATATAGGCCTATATAAATATACAACAAATAAAAATAGTATATATTTCACTGTTTAGTGATGCACATCGACCATGTTCGATGTCGAAAATAAATTCTCTCTCCATGTTTATTGCTTCTCGGGGATACTATTTTATATTCAGTATTGGGAGTGAGGAAATAAGAGTTTACTAAAGTTCTCTCTAGCATAGTTTAATGTCTTCGGCCCCCTTCCAATACTAGAAGCATGGAAATTGAAGAAAATGATAAATAAACATGCGCTCGGTTGTTGAATTTCCAGTCTAAAAAAATAGCAAATGGAAATTTTTTATATAAAAGAAATTTTAATAAAAATTACAAAAAAATCTAATTAATAAATAATAAAATTACAATAAAAAATTTATCAAACAATTTTTTATTTTTATTCATATAAATTTTAAATTTATTTTTAAAAAATGGAATAGAAAAATAAAAAAAATTGGCTATAAACGTTAATTAAGTTCAAATATAATTAATTTGAAAATATTTTAAATTTTCTAACATTTTTGCTTAAACGTAATTAATTTTATTTTCGTTTTTTTTAACAATTTGATTCTATTTTTCAGCTTTGATTAAAATTATTTAAGAATTTCGTGAATAAAAAAATATATTTTTTCGTCATAATTTAAACGAAGAATGTTAGAATAGGTTAATAAATAATTTTTTCATTCAAAAATTACTTATTAAAAGACAAAATTTCTATTTTTTTAAAAATAATTCTTTAATGTTTTTATTTAATATAGACATTTAATTATTAATTGGCATTTTAGATGTAAAACTTGTATATAAATTCTAGAAAAACTTTCTAAAATAATACATTTTTCTATATAAACTTATAGAAACTACCGATTTGATAGAGAAATTTTAAAAATTCATATATTAAAATGCGCAAGTACAGAATTAATATTTAAAAAATTATAAAAAACTTTCGCCAAACTATTTTATTGTTATTACATTTTAAATTTTATTTATTTTTATTAATTTTAATTAAATTTTTTAAACTATAGATTGATTTAGAAGCCATGTATATCAATTATTACACCAATTAGTAAATACAGTAGAAATAACAAATAATTTAATTTTATAAATATATATACATATATATATANATTACAAGCATTTAGCTTTCCGAAGTCTATGACAACAATTGTTTGGCATTGACGGCCGCGAATTTCGTGCCAATAAGCTGCCTCGACTTGTTCGATTATGTTATCAACTCAATTTCTTATTTATTTTCACATTTTCACTCGCAGTCCTTCTCTGTTTTTTTTTCCGTTATTTACACGTGTAGGTCATTTCGTATCCACATTTGATATCATCATTTATCACATACTTCCATGACACTCTTGTCTGTCCGCTACAACTGCCAAGAATTAACGCGATTGGCGAAGCGTAGTGACAGCGGGCCAATAGAGAGCATTAGCGGGCCAATAGAGAGCCTTGCTATAATGCGGTTTGCGCACCAATTTTCGTACGTGCGTTAATCAAGCCGAATAGTTTGGCCAAATATTCGGCTATTCGGCCACGATCCTGGCCGAATATTCGGCATTCGGCCTGAGGCCGAATATACTATTCGTTACAACACTAATAAATACAAATACATTCTTAAAAAATAAAACTAATCTAAGAAAGTTTCTGAGCGAAGTGAGAACATTGCTTTTAACAAATATGAAATTATAAAATTAATAATTAGGGAAATTCAGGTAATCTTTTCAATTATTATATTGAAATCATCGCGTGACAGATTTTATTTTTGTTTAAACTAAACAAAAAAAAAACTAAAAAGTAATTAAGAAAATCTCGTTATTGCGAATCTCGATATTATGAAAAGCCTTCTTTATGTAGACATTAATGTAACAAAACCTAACTATTATGAAAATCTAATTTAATACAAACCTCGTTTTAGTGAATCTCAATATTAAGAAAACCTCATTGTTATGAACCTCGCTATTATGAAAATTTATTATTTAAATGTTGCGAGAAACATCACTATTGCGAGAATATTAATACAGTACTGTATAGCGTTATTATATCGAACCTCGATATTACGAAAACTTCATTATTACGAATCTGACAGATATGAAAGCAGATATTTTAATAATTTCTTTTGGTATTAATAAATTCGTAATAAAGATGTTTTCGAAATAGCGAAGTGCGTAATATCGAGGTATATTTCGAAAAAGAGAAAGGGATTATTTGAATGCAGCATTTTCGGTTCTACAAAGAGCGTTTAATAGAAGATAATTTGGAAATTAAGTATTAGAGATTCTGAAAATTTCATTTTGTTGCAATCGCTCGATCACTTTAAACATTAACACACAAACTACCATTATGTAAAATAAAGCTCATTTTAATGCTAATAAATGGAAAAGTGTTGAACACCCCCCTCATCATTTACTACAAATCCAATTTAATATTCAAAGCCTCTGTTAATGTTTCCCTCTAAATCGTAAACCAAATTCCTCGTTATACAGATACGTTTAATTGTTATCTAGAAACGTTTTTTAGAGTATATTTTTAAAAAAAATCTAATAAAAATACATTGGATTTGGATGGGGACCGAACCCATGTCCTTCGATAACATAAATAAAATAAATTGTTAAAATTAAGTTAATTATAAAATTCGTAAAATGTCAACGTTTTCTTCCTTTTTCATTTATATAATGACATATATTTATATAAAATTTTGTGATTTAGAGAGTGATCCTCTCTGTATCGCCACCCATTAAATCATTTTTTTTTTTTTTAGTTTTTGAGAAACGATGAGGACCGACAATCGAACGGACAGATGAAATGAATAAAAACGTTTTCAATATTGGGATCGCTAAAGAATAAAATCGTATAAGAAAAATCCAAAAGAACTCACTCGAATAGATATTATATTATAATAAAATTTTAAAAAATTCATTTTTATCTAAAAAAGTATATAGGCCTATATAAATAAATTTAATACTTATAAACTTAATATATTATTAATAATATTAGCCACATTATTTCCTATACTTTTTAATAATTAAAATTATTTTTAATGGCATTTTAAAGTACTTTTAAAAACCCGTAAGTCTACATTAAATTTGTGTTAATTAATTAATATTGTTTAAATGATCAAAAAATTTAGGCTATATGAGGAATTATTTTTTGATATTCGCATCGAACCTTTTGGACAAATTATGAATGGATCAATTGTATTTTAAGAAAGAAAATTGTAGGTGAAGGTTGAAAATTGAAAAATGAAATTATGAAGAATAAAACTACAGTATAATGGATGAAATTGTAGAGGAAAAAACTGTAGGGGATGAGAATTATAGAGAAGAAAACTTCAGATAAAAACTATGAGGGATGACAACTATAAGGGATGAAAATTGTAAGGAATAAAACTATAAAGGATGAAAATTGTGAAAGGAAACTTTAGTGAATGAAAATTATCACGGATCCAAATTATCCTTGAAAGTTTCAAGGATAACTTGGAGAAAATGTTGAATAAATTTGTTTAAGTAAATTAAAATATTATTTGTGTACTTTTTAAAGTGCTAAATATAATACATCTTTAATTATAATTAAAGACATTAATTTCATTTTAGTAAATTTATTAATTATATAAGCTAAATAAATATAAATAATTATGTAAGAGTTATGAATTTTTGAAGAAATTCGCTTTATTGTTTGAAATTACAAAAGTATAATAAATATCGAATGAAAATAACATTCTCTTTTATATATTCTAAACTAGATATTTTATATCCAATAGATTTAAAAGCTTATCGAATGCATTTAAGATTTTTCAATATTGCTAAGTGGACAGAATATCTTTTTTTTTTTCTTTCTTTCTTTTTATCTTAGAATTTTCTAAAGACTAAATGGATTTGGTTGTTTGATAAAATAATTATTTTCAATGCTCTTTTATTAGTCGACGATTTTTCCATCTTTCAAAAGTGAAAATTCCTGTAAAATTTCCTTTTTATTGTAAAATTCAAATGACTTGGAGAAATGCCTTGATAGGAAATTGGAAACGTTCAAAAAATATTTGGAAATATTAGGAATGAAAGCTGTAAGTGATGAAAACGGTAATGGACGACTTGTATAAGGCATGGGAACTATAAGAATAAAAACTGTAAGAGAATAAAATTGTAAGAGATGAGAATTACAAGTGAAGAAACTTATAGTGGATGAAATTGTAAGGACTGAAAATTATATGAGGTGAGAACTATAAGGAATAAAAGCTGTAAGAGATGAAAACTGAACGAAATAAATGGTGTACGGAATGAAAATTAGGAATGAAAATTTGTAAGAAATTAAAACTAAGGACAATTGAGAAAAGAAATATTTACCAATTAATTGTTTTTTTTTTCTAAATTCTTATATATTTAGCTATAAAGANTTTACATTTAAAACTCAAGATTTGTAATATTTTTTAACAAATTAATATTATTTAATTGATTAAAAAAAGTGTTATTTAAATTTTAGAATTGATCAAACGAGATTCTTTAGCATAATCGATCGATAATCCACAAACTCTTTTTTTAAAATTAATATCAAATAATATCCCACTTTTCACCATTTATTCTCTGCTCTTTCTGCTCTGAGGGCATTAAGAAGGACTTATTCCCGT